GATAATTGCGTCTATAAAATAGGATCAGGCTGTATTGCAAATAGTTTAAAGAATTTTTTAGATAAAATAGTTATTAATGATCAAACAGGCTTTATCAAAAGGCAGATTTATAGGCGAAAATACAAGATTAATCTATGATATTATGAACTACACAGAAGAAAAGATAGTCCTGGTTTACTCCTTCTTATAGACTTTGAAAAGGCTTTCGACTCATTATCTTTGAATTTTGTGCTACAAACTTTAACCTTATTTAACTTATTTAACGATATTAAAAGATGGTTCACTATATTGTATAAAAATAGTGTATCAACAATAAGTCAGTGTGGATTTCTTTCTGACTATTAAAATTCAAAGGGGCTGTCGTCAAGGAGACCCATTAAGTAGTTTCAGTTTTATCCTATGTGCAGAAATATTATCCATAAAAATAAGATCAAATGAAAAAATCAAAGGTATTAAAATTTATTGCACATAAATCTCAATTTGCAGACGATACAACTGTTATACTAAAGGGCAATGATGAGTCTTTACCGTCCATGAACAGGCTCAATCAAACCGAGCCTGCAACATTTTCAATTTTGCCGTGTTGGGCTTTCTTTAGGGATTCTGTATTTATCTATAATTTTAAATGAAGTCATAAACACACTTGCAGATTTTTCTTTGTTTTCTGGTCTTTATGTTTACTTTGATAAAACCAAGATTTTTTGGATTGGTAAACTTAGTAAATATAGTACAAATAGCATTAAAACTAGATGGAAATTATCTTGGAACCAGTCTTCCTTTGATATGTTAGGTATAAAATTTCATGTAGAACTTGTGACAATTCATTTTGAAGAAAAAATGAATAAAATGCTGAGAAATTTTACTCCTATTGGAAGAATCGTAATTGTTAAATCTTTATTGTTATCAATATTCACACATTTTTTTACAACACTGCCAAATCCAAGTCCTAATATAATTAAAGACTTAACTGAAACCTTCAGATATTTTGTCTGGCATAGTCAATGTAAAATTAAACAAGAGGTCTTGAGACAAAGCATTGAAAAAGGTGGTCTTGGAATGATAGACGTTGAAGCATGTAAAATTAAACAAGAGGTCTTGAGACAAAGCATTGAAAAAGGTGGTCTTGGAATGATAGACGTTGAAGCATATATTTACTCTTTAAAGATATCTTGGATAAGAAGAATTTTAATCAATAATTGTAAATGGATAGGTTTGGCATGCACAATTTTTGATATAGAGAAATTGATTAATTCTGGTATTGGGTATTTAGAAAAAAAACATTAGTGAGATAAAAAAAAAATGATTTTTGGAAGGACACTTTGAATGCATATTATATGTACTGTAAACTTTAAAAATAAATGAAAATGAGTTATATTCTCATCCAATTTTCGATAACCCTTTAATAACTATTGAATATCAACCAGTGTTCTTTAAAAACTGGTTTAATGAGGTGTACATGTCATAGGTGATCTTTTAAACCAAATGGACACTTTTATAGTTTAAATGAATTTAATGACAAATATAACATAAACTCTTACTTTATATATTATCTTGGTATTGTAAATAGTGTATCCAGATTCCTTTCAACTTATGATAGAACATGCAGTGTCCTACAGAGACCTTTTATTCCACCTTTCTTAAAAGTTATTTTAAAATTTACTAAGGGTACACATCCTATGTATGAGGTATTTATTAAAACCAAGATAAAACCTACTTGTATATAAAATGGTGTGAAAAGCTCAATGTACCATTAAGTGAAGAAGAATGGAGTTACATTTTTTCTTTACCTTTAAAATATCAAATTATTCAGGCCTTCAATGGTTTCAGTACAGAATTAATCATAGAATAATAGCAACTAATTCATTACTTTTAAAAATGAATTTAAAAGATAACGAACTCTGTAAATCTTGTAAAAATGAGATAGAATCATTAAAACACATGTTTTGATTTTGTCCGATTATAAACAATTTAATATTTTCTGTTTTTGAAAATTATGGCAATTTAGATCTTTGCTCAACTATTATAACTTTATCCTAGGTTTGAAAGACAGTAAATCAACTGCAGGAAATATGATTTTTCTTTTTCTGAAGAGATATATTTACAACTGTAGAGTAAAAGAACAAGTACCAAATACTACAAGAGCATATCAATAAATTAAGTACCAATTTATAATTTTGGAAGAGAAAGCAATTTATCAAAATGATTTAAATACCTTCCATAAGACGTGGATTTTTTTTTGTCAAAAGATAAAGTAAAATAGATAAATACAGAATCCCTAAAGATAGCCCAACACGGCAAAATTGAAAATGTTGCAGACTCGGTTTGATTGAGCCTGTTCATGGACGGTACTGGAAAGTGCAAGTTACCGTCCACGCCCCCTAGCAACGGCTTAAGCAGAATTCAACATTTAAACGTGAAATAGTAAAATTTTGAATTTAGAAACATCCGCAGATGTGTTCATATGGCGGTTATCATGGAACCTTCAATGTGACACTTCCGTGCCATTCCATGAAAAGCGGGGTGTGGTCCCCAAGTAATAAAAAGCATGTGCCCTAAACGAGAAAACAATAGGCGGAACTAAATAAAATGGAATTTTGAAAGGGGATCAGAGTTTATGAAGCCTGCGTATCACAGATAAGACGTCAAAAAACAAATTTAAAAACCTTTCATATGTTTGTAAAGCTAAATACGATAGTCAGAAATATAAATGATCAAAAAAATATTACTTGCAAAACCTGTTTCTTTTTTTTTTTTTCTTCTTTTTTCATTTAAAAAATAAATTTATAATGAAGTTCCTCGTTAACTGACTTATATATATCATATGATTATATGTAACATTGGTAATTTGGTAGTAATTGTATATTGGTCATAACACCTGCAATACATTATATGTATGTTACTGTTAAATCATTTCATGTTTTTATATACATATGTAAGGGTAAATTCTGTTTTCACTGCGTTTGTGAGCATTACACGTCACATTCATCATCACTTACGTCCATGGATAGCCTCATCAAAACAAGTCTGTGATAAAAAAAAAAATTCCTGTAACCAATCCTGTGGCATGATATTGAAACAGATCAGTCGGAAACCTATTTTCTGGCTACAGAGAATTTACTGTTACAATTACCCAGAAACATGTAATTTCACACATACTTTGAATCATTCCCGTCTGTGGACTTACAACGTTACTTCCATAAGTCATTTATTTTAAATATAATGCGATATCGACAAAAAGATGACAACAATAGCAGTACAAGTGACATAAATCCCACTATTTATTCCTTATTATTACATTAAATACAACGTTTAGTGCAAAACACGAATTTCGGTCTTTAGAGCGAAAGATGACACAGAAAGTAAAACGACATTCACATGTACAGATGATGAATTAAACACAAAACAGAGATCCTAATTACTAACTGTCAAAAAAATCACATTTTAAAATAGTTTTAAATGACCGGCTTGATTGAGTCTATTCATCCGACATAATAAAATATGCAACATATTTCACTCCCCTAGCATTAGCTTCAGCGGTATTCATAAATGTTTCCGAAATACTACAGAAACATAACAATACTGAAGTGAAATACCGATTGTAAGTGCGGGCACGCTTTATTGCGGTATTATAAAAAAATCATTATCACAAATTTAAAGAACAGAACAAAGAATTATTTTGAAATTGCGGCAAGAATATGAGTTATTTATGATATAATTTTTCTTTTCTTCCTTGATTTGGTAATACCGTATAAAACAGCTAGTACTTAACTTGTAAACATAATATATCATATACATTATTCTAACAAGAGAGGGTACTAAAGTATAATTTAATAATTCATTTTAAATAAGTTTTGAATTGCAAAATGTATTTTATTATATCTGTATTCCAGTCCAATCATAAGCCACTGATTTTAAGTGGAAATGATAAGGTTTTGATTGACATTTTATAAGAATATAACATTTCATGACATTCTATGAAAAAAAGGCCGAAGCAATAAAATGCGTGTCTGCATGACGAGCAAAAAAGGAGAAACTCAATGACATACTGAATCTATTTACTTTGATTTTTCACATCATTCTTTCTTTTGAAAAGAACTAACATTACAATTTTGTAAATATCTTTTTATTCTTGTAGAAGATCTTCAGAAATCACTCAGTGACGTTTGCACGAACTCCAAAACAGTTATCACAAGAAAAAATGAAAAGTTATGAATCCAAATTATCTTTTAAAAAGTTCCCTGTGTAACTTTATACAACTGTTGACTTATGATGAGGTCTTCACATGGCCTTTCGGACCTGTTTGTTTGTTTGTTTGTTTCATTTTACGCCTTTTTCAACAGTATTTCAGTCATATAGGCGGGTAGTTTCCTAACCATCGTTCCTGGAGAGTTACACCAGTACTAGACTACCTTCCTCCGCGCTAAACTACCAAAGCATCTCCCGGGGATCGAACCCACGCCAGAGAGGTAACTGGATTAGAAGTCATCGACTCTAACCCCTCGACCACGGAGGCGGTTCTTTCGGACCTGCGAAAATATTTACTGAAGACTATAGTCTAAGGGTAAGGTAATTTTTCTCATCACGTCATATTACTGTCGCCGACTTGGGACTATTTTTTAAACAGATAGTTGACAACATTTAAGCGAGAATAAACATCGAAGTATGAGAAAAATGCTAGTTCTGAATTTTTTATGAAAAAGAAATGGAATGTGCATATTCATAATTGTCAAATTCGTCAGTTTTACTTTTGTTACACTGAAATGACCTATAATCATGATAACAAATTTATAAAATGACATCAGCAAGTATATATGAATCAAATTTAGGTCGAAATCTAAAAGCTCATGCATTTATCACTAACAGTTCTATTCATCGAATATATATTAAGATAATAAAGATAAAGAGATAAAGATAACTTGAACGCCAGTCCTGTGAACTGATTATTATCTTAACTATGATTATTTTTATATGATATATTTATGAAACACACTGATACAGTAAAGTACAAAAAACGGCTGGGATATTATACAAGTCATGTAGACATATATATATTAAATTAAGAAAATACATGTTTACATGACTTGTATATACATGTATATATATTGTATATATATTAGACTATCTCTAATTATACATTTCGATCTTTACATTATAATATTAATATATACAACGCTACTTGTGTTTGAGTTTTATTGGTCAAGCCTCCTGCAAACTTTCTGATTCATATCTATGTATATTCTTATAAATTTCTACTGCAACATTAATTAATATTTTAGTTTGAAAATTATTAATGACTGCAAATTGTATGATGTACATGTAGGTTGTTTTAAAAATGAAATCAGCAATCAATTATGATATAATGTACGGGTAGATAAATGACTAAACATTTTGATATCCTACATTGTTATCAGGCTATCAACGTATATAATGTTTTGAGAGTACATATGGGAACATATTTTCACAGTTTTGACAAGAGGTAAGACCTTCGTATTATTACATAGTATCTTTTTTTAAATAAAAGATGTTCATGACAATATTTTATATTTGTTCATTCAATTAAAGTTGTTCTACTTTTATTTAATTTATTTCTATGCATGAAATAAAGCGTTTCATTATATTCACTTAATGGAAAAATTGTGTCTGTGTTTCTTCGCAATATAAAAAATCTTACAACCTGGTATTTTATACTGAAGACGGTCTATAAAATTATCAAAGTGTTTTAAAAAAACACTTGGGGAAATCCTGATTCACAATCAAAACAAAAATTGTTCAGTTATTAAATAATACAGTGTATGGGTATCATAAAATACATCTTATTTATAGATTTAGTAATTGCTTTTTTCTATCAAGAATAAACAGATTTAAAATTAATGTATCAATCGCTTTTTGTGACTAATATGACCACTCTTTTAAATACATCATGAGAATTCTCCGGCAAAAATACAAACATTACTTTACTTAATTTGAACTATACAAAATTCATTTCAAATCAGTTTATACTTCTTCTTTTTAGTCTATTCATTTCTGTCTGTCTTAAGAATTATACAATTTGTTGTAATTCCGTCAATGTTTTCTGTTACATAACATCTAGCTATGGCGTCAGGTTCTTACACATTGCCATGTGGGTTCAAGCCACCTTCAGAAAGTTATGTATTCGACAATCTTATCGCCGACCTCTCTCAAGCAATATCAGAACAGGAACTGGAAAATCTCAAACAACGCTTTGAACGTAAGTTGTCAAATAAAATGAAGATGCTAAGGTCACACACCTTTCAGACCAACCTTAAGCATGATTTGAGCAGTAAGACCAGTTATGTTATTTATCTTTGAAGAACCTAGTCATATAACCATTTAAGAACATTTCTTTTGCCGTTATTATTGGCATGAAAGGATGTTTCGAATTTCAATTTTCTCTTATAAACAGAGGCATAAACATGATAAACATGAATCTGCGATTTGCAACTTCTTTTGCAAGTTTAGGTTAAAGTAAAAGTGCTTCTAATAAAATGTTTAAGTTGCATAAAAACAATCAATACGAAATATTTTTTTAGATTATAATTTGCAATAGTATTAGTAAATGTTTGTTTTATATCAGGTGTGCAACATGTACGGACTCCAAGAGAGATGTTTGACTCTCTGAGAGATATGGGATTCATAGGCAACTACGACATATTGTATATCCAGCAAATTGTTCGTGTTCTTGACAGAGTAGATCTTGTGGAAAAATTGCTAAAATACGTACAAATGTTTGAGGAGGATACGGTTCTGCATTTTGTCCAGGAGAAGAAAATAACCAGTATAATTATATATAATATGAATTATTGAATATACGCATTTTTGTTCGTGCTGACAACGAATGAAGAATCAATTTAATTTAAGGAGATGATATAGAACCTCAAAAAGCACACTAAGTTTTTATAAAGTAGTCTGCAATACAGTCGTTTTATAAAACATTGAATCATTTAATTTCTGTCATGTTGGTTTTAAGTAATTTAGAGTTATATAAACAGGAATTATACACCGATCTAACCTAACTGATCAAATTCTATATTTCAGCTAACGGATTTATTCTAGTTCAGTTTCACGTTAAAGGTAAAGGGATTTCAGAGACTTGCCAACTGGAAGAGTTTCGGAGAGAGGTATCTAGGCCACTGTTTTGTCCTATCCATGAAGTGTTCATCAGTGGCATACAAGAAACAAACAGCACTATCTTAACACTCATGATTCCAACATTGTATGCTGATTTCCTCGCAAAACTGTTAGAAAAACAAAGTCAACGCATCATTCGCTCATTTTTGTTACTAAGCGTCGACTCAGTTATCTGCAATAACAATAAATTTGAGCTTCAGGTCAAAGGTGCGTGAGTATCTATCTATTAATAGATTATAGATATATTTTTCTATCTTAAGATAATCTTTAGACTGTTGGCAACAAAAATGAAGGAAGCATGCGATCAGTGTAGACCAAAGTCAGCTATTACTTCCTGCAGTGCTCACTATTCAGTTAATAAATAAATGACAATTTTCCATTAAAAGATCAATTTGTTTTGTCCAAATTGAAAGATGGAAAAGCCTATTTTTTTTTAATTAAATAATGCGTGCTCATATCATTCAATTGCTTAATATGATACTAGAACTCCTCGAGTTGCATATGTAGCCTTGTGAACAATATAGTTTAGAAAAAATGGCCAGGACAAAAAAGGAAAAATGAAAGTTAACAAAGGGCAATAACTCAAAAAATAAGAAGCGCAGAGCAGCAGTTGCTGTGCACTAAACTTCTAATCAATAAGATCTATCTCCCTATGAAGTTTCAGGCTATAGCTTTTATAATTTATGAAAAATGGCCTGCACAAAAATTAAGTATGAACTTTATTAAAGGGTAATAACTAAAAAATAAAGAATGTATAGTACCGGTTCCTGTGCACTGCACTTTTTCTTAATGAGATCTACCATCGTATTAAATTTCAAATCCATAGCTTTTATACTTCAGGAGAAATGAAATGTTTAGTTTATGTGCGCCAGGACCATTGTATATATTTAATTACTATTGGTGCTTTCTCCTAATGTAGTTATATAAGTTAAAGATTGACACAATTTCCCAATAATTAAATGTAAAATTCATGTTTACTTCGTTTATCAAAGGCGAGTTGTATAAAGCCAGAAGTACCAAACATCAACCAGGTCAATCTACAAGATACGAAAGCAGAACACCTAAACGAAGAATGGACGTGGAACCAACGAAAAACGTACACACACGGAAGAAAATTAAAAATATACATCAAACAAAAGGAAAGAGCGCCCAAGTAGCCATACGTCAACGACCATCACCCATTTCAGTGATATTGGAAAAACAACATAAAAATATACATCAAACAAGAGGAAAGGGAGCCCAAGTAGTCATACATCAACGACCATCTCACATTTCAGTGATATTGGAAAATCAACTGAATGAAATTAAACAACAATAAGAAAGAAAACATTTCTTTTATAATTTGTATTTTAATAATCTACAGAGAATAAAGAAATACATTTTTGATTTGTAGTGGTTAGCATTTAAGTTCGCTTTTAGTTCTAACATATCCTTGAATAGATAGTATTATAGGGTGTTGAGGTAACTGTATCAAAAAGCATTTTATTTTGAAAGGTGTTTGTTTAAGTTATATTTTAGGCAATAAATAGTTTCGGAAAAAAATTATGTTAGAATGTGAATACCATTTCACATGGTTGTAAGTTGTTTTATATCTGCATATATTTTGGAAGTTTTTCTAGTGTTAAAACCTAAATTTTAACATTCATTTCAGTAAAACATTTCATAACTATGCTTTCGGATTTGGGAACAAAAACGGTCATGCTCCAATTGTAATATTCATGTATACTTCACAAACTATTTGAAACAATTGTTTTTTTTTTCTTTTCTAGTAACACATTTTTGTTAGTCATAATCTCTCACATCAAACTATGATGCATGTACACGAAATATGTGACCATAATTAGACAGTGGTAAATTTAATTATTAGCAGAGCTACATAAAAATAGTCAATTTTAAAATAATGTAATTATTGTGAAACTTTTTACATTGTTGTTATTAATCAAGCCAGCATGGTTATTCAATGTCTCAACATGATAAAATGATAGAACAACATTTTGATAAGCAAACTGCATATAATGATTCTAGTCTTGATTTACATTTTCAAATAATTCCCATATCATTGTCTTTGTGTCCTGTATTTTTATTAAACAAATTAGTTGACCTGGTTCGAAATAAAGCACAAATCTGCAAATATAATTTTGGTTGTGTTGCTTGAACATGTACTTGCTACATACATAATCTACTTTCTAACAGTGAAATAATCTTTGTTTGAAATACTCACCTTTTACATTTATACGATATAAATATTGATACCTTAATCTTCAGTGGGATTGTTATTATAATTGCTTTAGAAGCCCTTATTACTCGAACATGAAATTTATTAATAGTAAGTACTTTCAATTGTTTAACTGTATTATTTGAAATACCTGTCATATCTTGATGCATACATTAAGAACTGTTCCTGGTTGCTATGTTATAAATTTATTATTTTAAGACCAGTATTACTTATAATGTGTCGCTTAATATTTGTAATATTTCTACTTTAAAAATACATAACAATAATGGAATGAATTCCAAATGATGACTTTTGTATTTGAATATATCAGCTTAATGTTAATAATAATAAGTAATAATGATCTTAATTCCAGTTATTAAGAACAGGAAAAATTTATTTGACATTTCTTATCACGAACCGTTGAATGGCAAAGTGAGAAGGGTTAAAGTACATGTACTTTAACTTTGCTTCAGTTCTTCGAATACCGACAGTATGTCTACAACAAGACGATTTCAACACATTTTGCATGCAGTAAGATTTTCCATTTCGATAGTATTCCAATTAATTTTTATACATGATTATTTATCTACATATGACACAGGTATGTTCATTGGAAATCTTATTAATCCTTTTATGCGACTCTGCAATTTAACACTGTCGATTTTGCATACTACATGCATCGCAAAAATACATCCATTTGAAATGCTGACTTTGCAAAGCAAGACTTTCAGTCAAACGTTCAAAGTTTACATTACGTCCAAAAGAAATAGCAGGTATTAGTACTTGAATGAAGGTTTGAACCAATGTTTCCAAAGGAATTGATAGATATGTAAACAGTGACATGTACATATATAATGACATGTATATAAGACTCATCTACAGATGTGATACGTATGGAAGAACACTTCATACATTATTCGTATAAAACTTTAACCGTTACGCTTAATGGTGTCATAGGCAATGTAATAACCATACAATAGAAGCTTGAAAAGTATTGTTGGAACAAAGTTTACATTCTCAATAACTAATTGAGGACATGCAATGTCTACCACTTACAAGTACCTTGTATGCTTTTGACACAACATTTTCTATGTGAAGAATTTTTGTAAATAAGCAATCTGTCAGTAATTAAATACTTTTTTTCATTACATAACTATTTCTTATGTTTACAATTAACCAAACGCATTTAAGTTGAGGAATTAAAGGCGACGATATGACAAATTTTTCAATGATTGTATATTTCGGACATATAATGCACAATACAGAGTTTATTCCCTGTGACAAGAATTATTCATACCGATCTATTTTTCTAAATATCTTGTGTAATATTTAATGGACATATTTGTAAATCTTCTGTAATAAAATGGTCTGTTCATTTCCATAACTATTTTTATGTTTACAATATAGCAATCGCCTTTCAGTTAAGGAATTTAAAGCGACGATAGGACAAATTGTTCAATGATTGTATTTCGAACATGACATGCATTTTACGAAATAATCTCCTTGTGGTAAGAATTATTGATACAACTTTTGTAAATATGTTTTTGATATTAAATAGACACACTTGTTTAGTTGTATTATGAAATTTTGTTATGTTCACGACCAGTATGCTAATTAAATAATTTTTGATTTAAAGCTTATTTGTTTGTTTGTTTCTTTTTCTCTCCCCGAGAAGACACTCTTTAAATATTAAAAATAGTTTTTGTAAAGAAATGAAAAGAAGGGTGCTTAAAAGTCTGTCAATAGTGTGAGGTACAATTAATGTTTATCATGGCTACGATTTTTCTGGTTAAGCACTGAAAAGCAATACATTTAAAGTTACATTATTGTGTAAAGGCACTTAACAGGGGAAATATTAACATGGTGTTTGTTTGTTTGTTTGTTTTATTTTACGCCTTTTCAAACAGTATTTCAGTCATATAGGCTGTAGTTTCCTAACCATCGTTCCTGGAAAGTTACACCAGTACTAGACTACCTTCCTCCGCGCGCTAAACTACCAAAGCATCTCCCGGGGATCGAACACACGCCAGATGTTAATCACTAACCATTATAAATATTATAAATTTGAACATAATATTATTATCTAAAAGAAAATGTTACTATGTTTGATTGTATACATATATACTTGATAAATACACAATTCATATTTGACATCCGGTTAGTATGAAAATATAATCCATATAAATGTTTTCGTCATTCATCACTTTGACGAGCAATAATTTTGGGTTGTTGAATTTTTGTAGTAGTATTAATTAATAAACATGAACATTATAAAAATAGTAACAAATGCTGTTAAATTTTACAAAATGACTTTTAGTTAGTAATGTTAATGATGTTTTGTTTTCTGTGTAACAAGTCAAGTTCCTCTAGTAATACTTTTTACTCTGTCTACAATAAAATGAAGAGTGCAAGTTGAAGGTTTCTGAATTACACATTTTGTCTTTTATCTTTCTCGTTCCTTCAAAACAGATAACTTTTTTCTATAAAAAATAGCTACATACGAATTAGCAAATAAAAATAACATTGAAAGTTAAAAAAAAAGAAAACGTAGAATTATAATAATTCAAGCATTTATATATTTAGGTCAAGTCTCCAAACGTTATTATGTTGTTACATCCGTGCGATACTTTTCCAACATGTATTCAAACTGTAAAGACCTGGTTCTGAAGAATCGAACTTTCACATATACTTTTCAAAATAATTCATTTATACGGGCGTTTTATTTTTTTATTTTCATAGTGTTTACAACGCATAACAGTGAAGCAGTGCTACGATAAATAAACCGGACGAATGACATTGTCGTTATACTTAAGTATACCATACTACATAAATATATGTTGCTGTTGTTGTTGTTGTTGTTTTGTTTTGTTTTTTTCAAGTGCTCTTAAAACTATTTAAGATTTCATGAAATGTGTCCAAAGGAAATCGGTACTCAAACACTCCACTGTATTGTCACAAAATGAAATTTAAAATCCTGTAACATATGAACACAGCAGTTATACTAGTGAGTGAGAAGTGACAAATCAATTTAGTTTGGCTCAGTACGGGGCCAAAACCGTATTCCAATACATTTGCGAGAAATTACCAATGCCTATAACTTTACATGTTTGCAAAAATGCCAAGGTGCATGCGAAATAATGCTGTAAACTATTATAAGAAACTTCAAAAGCTGTAGCAGTGATACTTTTGGAGTTCTACACCATAACACCAGAACAGCATAAAGCCTAGCGGGCGGGCGGACAAAGGCAAATTTATAGACCCTATACTAATTGCTCTCTGAAACAAAATAGCATTTTCAACTTAAAATTCTTTATGCAGGTCTTTTCCTTAATTACTTAGAAGGTTGCATCTATTTTCCTTAATCACTTAGAAGTTGCATATACATATATGCTACATTTTACATTATCGTGTTTCATTTAACGCGGGAAGAAATGCTTGAAAAAAGTGCAGGTAGTTAAACGTATTTTCAAGTTATTATTAACCATTCCTAAAGTATGAGTGCTACAATGTGGCCAAGTTATCTCTATTTAACCAATAGTCTGCTAATAGCATCAAGTGCTATATATGCTGACTGATCATGGCTGCCATTGTTTGTTTTTCAGTCAGTACATATATATGATTACCCTCAATACATTATACGTTATAAGCTCAGACGAGATGATAAGGGCCGTCCGTATCCGCCGTGTGAGTAAGGCCTTTGGCTTCGAACCATTCGTGGATGGTATGTGGATTAAAATCTCAAGCATATGAAACGTCGGTTGTTCTGCTCAGGCACGAGCTCGTGTTTGAAATAATGAATAGAGGGCACATAAGGTATTCTTCTACTTCTTAAAATTGATACCTGCTATGTATCTATTACAGTAAACTGTGATGGTGCGACGTAAAAACAAACCGAAACAAGCAATCTTGATTCCAGGTAATTTATTGGTATGCGAGTTTTATCCTTGTAAGTGATGAAAGCAAAATAAGACATGATCTATCCATTAAGAAATAATATAAAAATTTCTTTAAAACTGGTTTTCACTTATACAAATAAAGTTACAATGTGCATTACAGTCCAAATTTCTTAAATCAATAAGTCAACACAATTACATTTGAATTGATAATGACAATAATAAACTTCAAAATGCAGAATTCGATAGAACAAGTTTAAAACTTCTTTTTTGTAAAATATGAAAAACAAAGACGGTTACAAATAGGGCAACATGACAATAGACTCAACGCAGGGTTATCGGAGAGCATCAAGACTAGTTAGATACAAAAGCAACTGCGAAAAGTGATGATATAACAGCTTTTAACAACAAAATCAATTATCAGGTGTTATTGATCTTTTCAGTTTGGACCTAACAAATGCATTATCAAGCAATATTTACCTTCGTAATATACAATTCAGGTTATTGTAAAATGAAGTAAATGTTAATTTTGATTTTCATCTTAAAGTTGCAGGCCTCCAGATGACCAAAAATGTTTAAGAAATTCGATCTTTAGAAAAATGTATAAAGATCTTAAGTAAAGTAAAACGATGCAATATTTGATAAATTATACACATGTCATGTGCGGTCAATGACTGATTTTGCTGTATCAATCAATATAATTCTACTGCGTTAGTAACGCAGTAAGAGTAAATTATGTATATTTTGACTCTTTTTGGTTATTTACGCAGATTGGAAGTGCCGTTTGTAAATTACTTTCTTTGTTCACTTAGCAGTATTATTCTTTAAAGTACATGTTCATGAATATGAAGGCATGCTGCTTTAAAATCCACTGTTTTTTTAAGAGTGTTAAGTACTACACCATATTTTTGTCAAAGCCTGTACATTTTAGATGTTATAATATTTTCACGAAACAGTTAAAAACAGCATGCCCCCAAATTCATTTTAAATGCCGAACATTTTGAAAATGTATTTTAAAGTGAACAATAAATGTGAAGTGAAGAAAAAAGTAATTTGCAATTAGCAAACAGGGCTAACAACCCACACTAGTTACTAAAACGAGAATATAACTATGCATTTAAGACCTTACTGTGTTAGTCACGTAGTAGAAATATGGTGATACATACTGTAAAATCAGTAACTTATCGCATATAACAAATAAAATGTGTCTTGATTCTTAAGCCGTTGCGATGGGCGAGAATGGTAGTTAGCTCTTTACAATATTGTCCATGAACAAGCTCAATTAAACCGAGGCTGCAACATTTTCCATTAATTTGTTTTGGACTTTCTTTTTAGGATTCTTATTTTCTCTATTCTACACTTTTGAACCTTTTCATTTTCCTTGATGCCTTAAAACATTTCTCTCAAATTTGAATGCCTTGAAATAATTTGCATCATCTAGAGGCATGTTCTTTGAAAAGAAGTTGTATCGTTTAAAATAAAAATACAAACAAAATAATTAAGATTGTAAAAGTAAATGTTGTTATAAATCTGTACAGACGGTCTGGATTTTTATGACTATGACTTAACATATGGATTCGCAGGCTACATATAAGGCTTTAATGCCAAAACCCCATAACCTATGTGGTCGTTAGACTGAACTTAAAGTACATGCAGTAGAAAACATATTTCATGCAAAAATGTTTGAGATCAACTGGTAACAACAATAATGCCATTAATATTCGTATGTCTGACGACGGATGTTTATATATAAATTCGTATTGCTTTTATTATATTTCTTTATGTTCTTACTATTATGATCCTTATTAAGATTCAAATTGTGATCATTCATTTGAATCAAAACTTATGTCTTATTAGTCCCGTGTCATTTATTCCAGGTATACTTTTATATAAAACAACTGCTTTTTAGCTCAGAAATAACACCTCGTTGATAAAGTTCATGCTTAACTAAGATAATCACATAAGTACAAAATAACAAGGCGCTCGCTCACTCAAGCACAATAAGAACACGCTAACAAATGAATGTTCGCGCTTGCACAAGCACAAAAAAGACAAGCACGCTCGCACACGAACATAAAGAAGCGACAACACTTTTACATTTCTATTAAATATATATGGTTCAAAGTTCTAACTATTGATCCATAATTTTAAATGAGGAACATGTTAATCAATTCTGATACGAGGAACATGTTAATTAATTCTGATACGTCATATTCCACACAATCGCAAACTCTCTGAAAGAAAAAAAAGTAAGGCACAAGATAATAAAACATATAACCATTGTGAAATAAACGTATAGTTACAAGATAAATATGTCCAGAGGTTAGTGTAACATATAACAATTGATACAATACATCATAAAAGGCAATTATATATGTTTCATCGACCTCATAGTAAGCTTGTTAAATAAAGTTAAATAAAAGTGGAGCGAATCAAATTTAGTTGTAAAATTGCTGATATGAATAGAATATTCTGTTATAAAACAGCTGAAAATTATTACTATACATACTTAAAGGGGCAAATGATAACCAATTCCGCAAAATGAATCACTCATTTATCATAAATGTCTGAAAGTATTATTTCTCCTTACATAACTGCAAGTAAGACATAAATAGAAATACAAACAAATAATGTAAATGTATACCATACAGTTAAATAAATTCAAAATGTGTTTCCAAATTTAAAGCAAGAGCATTCTGAATATACTATTTATAAAACGAACATTTTAAAAATAAAATAAATTCAAATGCTCCTATTTAATTTCAATGCGTTTACATGTCAAACAATGATCCAAAAATAAAATCTGATAACAGGTTCCTGTTGTAATAACGCTTAACAGAATGTAGAATTGTGGCAGAACAACGAAAGAAAGATAAAGAAAATAAACACGTTCATACGACAATCATAAAATGGCAAAGTCATGGTTTATAGAGTTATATAAATTTTAATTGCATAGGTATTAAAGCATGTAAAAATATGGCACAACTTTGAAAGTTGGAATGTGTAAAAATATGGCACAACGGAACAAAAAATTTAAAAACATGCTGTCATGTCGGTCAGAAAAAAAAAGTTTTTTAAATGATATACTAACAAAAAATGCGTACAATAAGTAAAACTTATTGCGGCATTAAAACGACTGTATGCCATGAAAAATAATATCTTTTATTTATTATTATTTTCATTTTAATGGTCTAACATCTTAACAGGTTACTGCAAATTTACAGCTAAATCTTATTTCTGCTATATGTTCAGATACCATTTATAACATGACCTGATGTGCTTTACACGTTGGATCTAGTCTGTTTCATAACATGTAGCACATTCACTTTAGTGAGTAGTTTAACGCAATATTGCAGTTCAAAACACAGCTTCTGTTTCGCCACTATTATTAAGTCTTGTTGTCTCCCCTTAACTAATACGACTTGCGATTGATATAATAGTAAATGGAAAGTAATCAATACAACAAATAGCTTTTTATTATATTAATGTAAAATGTAAAAATTGCTAATGACAACTATAATATTACTGTAGCCAAAACCATATTTCTCATGAATATATGATTTAAATCATTAATTACTTGCAAATATACATGAATAAAACACTTTTTTCTAAATTTTAAGTTTCTTTTACATTTCTTCTGTCTTTTTTTATTGGAAAAAAGGGAAAGGTGAATACGGTGGAGGGTCATATGATAACCCAAAGCCCTTTGTGTATCCGTGACCTTGTGAAAATGCTTTTTGGTTCATTTGTATAGTATCGTGTATTTCCTGGACTTGTTCAGCGACCTTGTTGAGAAGCTGTGTATGATCTGCTGGTGGTTGATCTCTGTTGAACTCTCTCTCTGACGTTCTTGACAACGATCCTGACCGTCGTTTCTGTGAAGTTTTTTGCCTCGATTTTGGATTCACGTCAGTTCCTGGCTTGCCCCTCATGAGATCTTGAAATTTCTTTGCAAGATCATCGCGACCAATATCCATTAAGCGTTGTGAAATAAATATACCTGCATGAAGAGTAATAATTGCAAATAGTAATGTAGTAATATTATACATGTACGTTACAAAGATGCAAATCGATAGCTGTATTGTTGTTCGATACTAGAACGTAGCATAGTAGCTGAAATAATTTAGTGAATAATAATGTTAAATTCATTTAAAGCTATACTTATAACAGATTTGCGAAGGAATAGTATAAAATAAATATTTCACAAATCCTTATTTTTTATTGTGCTTTACATCCAACCAACACTGTTATTAGTCATGTGTTTTTACTGATAGAAAAGGGAACTTAGATGCCCCTCCGGTACTATTTTAGGAATGAGCAGGCTTCTAAGTAGAACTAATCTATGTCCCGTATGTTACATGGATAGCTACCATCAGTCAAAAAATTCAAGATTCCTGGTGGGATTCTTACCAACGGCGGTAAGTGCAAGTATTTGGAAGTCAACGACCTAAACCACCTGTCCACTGACGTTTGTGTTTATCATTTAAAAAGATTGTAGTGTCAGTCATATATGTCTATGCAGTATACAAACAGTACAAAGACCTTTATACCTTCAATTTATTTAGAAACATTGTAATACATTTGTATTATAAAAACAGAATAACTGAATAGAACAAACACGCATAAAACATCTCAATGATAAACAATAAACTTACCAACGTCAACTAATTTCTGGGTTTTGTTAATCTCCTTAAGTAAGATACAAGCAAGAAGTGAAGTTCTGTCCGTGTCGATGGTTCGTTTAAGATCGTCATCCGAGTCCCAAGTGTACTTCTTGACAAGAGTTTCTCTTTCGCGAGGTCTCAGTGAATTGCTTATTTTCCTTAATATCTGAAGAATCTCTTCGTTTACTTCTACATGAATTGTGGAAACTGACGAAATAACAAAAGCACGGATAATGTCATTCTCTAAATAAAATGCACACATTAAGGCATACTTAATAAATATCATAAAATTATCCAGACTTTTTTATGTTTTTTGATGAAACTCGGTATTATAGACATGAGATACAAAATTGCATTATTGTTTGTTCTACAATATGGAGGGAGAATTTTATTTTCTTTTCAGGCCACGTAAAAGATCGTCAAAGCCGCTAGATATGCAAGAAAAAGTTTTATAAATGATTGTGATAAAAAGTATATTATATAAGATGCAAGACAGAAATCAGAGCACTTAATTGATAACGCTTTCGCCCGTTTGATCACAATTGTAAGTTACAATATTTACATCGCATATATATATGTTTCCCTAAGATGTATATTTTACATAGTCTCTTTTACTAGTTTTGCTAGAAAAAAAGAACATATGACATAATGATAGATATATAAATAGATACCTTCTTTTGCGATGGACTGCATCAGCTTCTTAAAACTTTCCAGCAGCATCTTGTCCATCTCATTTATATCAATTTCCGCGAAAAACCGAAGTTTTTCTAATTCAAATTTGAGTGGTAATAATTGGGACTGTAACTCGTTAAGTGCTAATTCAAACTGGCGTTGTCGTATACCGAATCTTTCTGTCAGACGATTGGCGACAACTATAGTGTTTGCGGAGAGCAATGTATATATATCAACTTTGTCATGCTGGCTGACTGTCTTCAAGGCGCACTCAAAGTCTTGCATTGCTTTCTGGCTAGATGATGCATAGTTCTCCTTGTCCTCTAGCTTCTCCACGTCTGATGACTTAAGTGTCATGATAACAAGTTCGTCCTTTTTGATTTTTTCTTCAAGTTCCGTTATCTTTGACTTGTTATCTGAAAGTTGACCAGAGAGTCGAAGACGTTCTGTTTCACTGTCCTCTAATTGTTTTGATTTTGCTTCAAGTTGTTGATATAGGCTAGCAAATTTCTTCTGTTGGTCATTTTCTGTAATCTCAGCTTCTCTTTCTTCTGGAAAAAGATTTGTGTAAGATAAGTAAATTATATTATTAATTTTGTGAAACGAAACCTAGGTTATTTTGTTGAACACAGACTTGTTGTTTGTTTTCAAATAATGAAAGAATGTAAGTTCCATACAACAAGTAAGATATCTATCTATACGTTTGTCATGACGAGATAAATATTATATAGAGATTTGAACTCTCGTAAGTTATCTATTTATAACAAATTGATGCCTTCAAATTTTAATATCATAAGATAAAATCATATATTACGATAGCAGTAGCTTATTTTAAAGCTTAATGATTATAAAATTTGAGGTATTAAACTTTTATCGATGACATTCACCTTCGACATTGTACGTTTTGTCTATTTCCACATAATCTATACCGAGCTCTTTCATGTCGGCGGTGCACAAATGATCTTCAAGCAGACCTTCTAGAATAGTAACATATTTTTCAGGTATCATGAGTGTTATCAGAAGACTGGATGATGGTTCAACACCAGCGATTATTACAAATTGCGCCGGAATAAACAAGATAGCTGCAATTCGGTTGCGGACGCTTTGCACATAACTTGTTGTACAATTTCGAAAGTTGCGCCCTTCAACGTGGAATTTAACATACTTGAATCCATTTTCTGTAAGAAATACAATTTGTAATTTAAGTGTTAAACAGTCTCAAATAATGGTTATTTGCAAAACAGGTTTAAACAGTAAATGCATTTAACGCTATATGTATAGTTTGGAATTATTACCATATGCTTCGTACGTTTTTCTGTTAAAGTAATTTAACTTATCACAAAAGGAAATTTTGCAAAATAAAAAATAATTGTTAATTAAAAGACTAATAAATAGTATTCCTTTGAAGCTAATAATTTTGTCACTGAAAGTTTATCAAATACAATTCTTACCTGGTAGGGCGGAAGCGGGATAGAAATGAATCACGTTCCCAACAGTTCTAGAATATTCAACCCCATCTTTGATGAGATCAACTCTACCTAGTCTATACAACATTGCATGCAGGTAAATGAGATTTTCACGACTCAGCCATCTTCTTGTTCTCATGATATTGAAGAGATCACGAACCGACTTCATTTCTTTTAATGTTTCATCATTTATTCCACCGTGTCCTGAAAATTTTTACTGATTATTTTTTTTAAAACTATCTTCAATAATTTACTGCAAGTGCTTTACACAGATATCTTAAAATGCAAAATTTGATTACATGCATCAATAATTTATATCAAAATAGCGGCAATGATTGAGTTAAGTCTGTCTCTTGCTAAATTTGATGAACGATTATGGCTCTTTCTGATGGTTATCTTAAACATTCATAGATCTGCAAATACTACCTTAGATCTGCAAAAACGTTCATATTTGTGAACTATTTGTGTTGCTGTCTATTCCATGTATGAACCTCACAAATAGATGAACGCAAACATACCAGAGACACAATTTTATTACTTAAATAAGATACGAACAGATTCGATTGAATCATTTTCATGCAAATCTGTGCACTGCAAGAAAATTCGTATAAATAGAGGAGAAAACAATTATCAAGCTTATTATCTATCTGCTAAAACTAACTGTAAAGCTTTGTAGAAATTAATGTTAAACACTAAACATTTTTTTAGATTTTAAATCAAGTGCCGATTTTTGACCTATTTCTTTCTAATAAAAACACATATAATAACTTTTCACAACGGCGTTGTCAACGGCTAAGCTTTTTACAGAGGCGTTTTTGATATCTTTGAATTTTCATAGTGGCATCATTTACATCCATGCATTTTCACAGTGGCGTCATTTTCATCTATAAATCTCAACGGCGGCATCTCTTATATCAATAAATTTTCATGCAGCGTCTCTTCAAGGATGGATTTTAAAAGCGATGTTTTATACATCTAAAATTTTCACAGTTTCGTCTTTTATATCTATGAATTGTCATAGCGGTGTCTTTAACATCTATGAAGTTTTACAGCTGCGTCATTTTCATCTGGCATTTATGTCAATAAATTGAAAACACTGGTTCGACGATGTTCAACTACAAGAAATGGGCAGTACAATAAACTGTTGGTCAAATATTTTGTATATTCAATGCCCAATCCTCCTTGTTGTTTTCTTTATTCTATATTTTATAAACTGAGAAATCTTTTCATAAAAAAAACTCACCAATTCAACATGAAAAGTAATTTTGCCTTACAACATATAAAATGAATGATATTTTTGAATACGTCAAGATTAGATGAAGCATTTTCATTCGCCACACATGTTTTACTCGTCTTTAAATTGCTTTAATCTAGGAAATAACTTGCAGTTGCATAGGCAGCTGGTTTAATCGTATCTATTTACTGTGTCCAACATAAACAGCGCATTTAATTTTCTGTGCAACTACGAATTACATCGCAGAACAATCTCTCGCAGAAACATAACGATATAAATTCGGTTGAATTTTACTGCGATCAGTCTGACCAGTACTCCAATTTCAATGTTTATCGTCAAGAGGAACCCTTATATTTACCATTAGCCTAAATCTGCCATATCCTGGTCCGCTTATGTCCTTCTGGCTCTAAAATTGTGGTATTTGGTTGTGACAAGGTCCTGGAATATTATGGTATATTGTAAACATCTGAAAAAGGTGTGATCCCTCGGAAGCATTTATCACACCGAAATCATATGGAATTTGCAGGCTTGATTGAGTCCATAAAACTTATAAAAATCTGGAAACCTTTTATAGTTGATACTAAACACGTGTCGCAAACACATAATCATGGCTATAACACCACATATTAATTTCAAACTATCTTTAACAACAGCATGTTCTGATCAGAGCTGCATTACTGGTACTGGTACTGCAGTACGTACTGCAGCTATTTTGCAAGTACTGGTACTGATACTTAATTACTCTTACAAAATTTTGCTACTACTGGTACTGGTACTGCATTACTGTCTTAAAAAGTGGTACTGCTACTGCATTACCCAGTACTTTTGGTTTTGATAAAAATTAAAAATAACATCATTTTTTTCATAAAATAAAGCTGTAAATTACATTAACTATATTTTATTTTTGTGAAAAAGTAAGTCATCAAATCTAAAGATAATTTGCTGCAATATTCCTTCAAATGTTAACATAGTATTCATCATAAAAAGCACCAAAGACTTTAAGTAAAAATTGAATTAAGATAAACAGGCTCAATAACTCTTTACCCTAAAATATCCTTATTAAAATCTTTTATTACTTTGTATTTACTAGTAAAAGAGCAAAATGAACACTCATTAATTTCTTCTATTCTAAAAAATCCCATTTCAAGAAAAAAGTGATATTGTTAGCACCATAAAAAGTTGTTATTCACTTTGGTTTAAATTGAACAGGGGTGTGAAGGTGTGAAAGGCAACAATAGACTGTTGTGTTTTAAATGAAAGATGTTTGCATTGTATTTATACAGTTGACTGGTTACTAAACAATTAGATATGACATGAATATATGTTGTAAATATTGTTTGTAAAAAGTATGTGAAAACTATAAAGTTGTAAATATGTGATGTTAACTTTAAAGCAGCACGCCTCAAGATTCATCCCAATTTTCATGAAAATTTTGAAAATGTATTTAAAGGTAAAATATTGTTAAATTAACAAAGAAAATACTTGACACATTACTATCGGCACTAAAAATCCACGTAAATTGCCAAAAAGAGGTCAAAAGATGCATAAATAGCCCCTACTGCGTTAGTAACGCAGTATAAATATGGTGATAAATGCTACAAAATACAGTCATTAATTGCACATAAGATATAAATTATCACTTGAATCTTTAATTTCTTTACTTTTCTCAAAGTTTTAGTAATTTTTTTCCAAGTTTAATTTTCTTGAAATATTTTGGGTCATCTGGAGGCATGCAGCTTTCAAGTAAATTATGATTTTATTTCTTTGCTGAATAATATTTGCAATTATTTGTTTGACACTGTATTTATTTAAACTTTGATGAATATATAAAAGTAATGGTACTGATACTTAATTACTTCACCAAAAAAAGTACTGGTACTGCAGTACCGAGCTAAAATCTAGTACTGGTACTGGTAATGGTACTGCATAATTTGCCAAGTACTGGTACTGGTACTTAAGTACAACACCCTTAGTACTGATGCAGCTCTGGTTCTAATGTATTTCAAAAATTGGCATTAATCAATTTGTACCAGGCATCGGTACATGTATGTAAGCAATATCAAAAGCCTACATAATTTTAATCATCTCTCTCATGTATCAACATCAGCACGTCAAATTTCGTCCAAGGTGGAATTTTCTAATGCAATAACAATGTTTATTCCATGTTCAAAATGTAGAACAATCTTAAAATGGTCGGTTTACCTTAATTAGCTGTAATTACCTTATTTTTACTTTGTTGTAGATTAAAAAATTGTGTTTCCATACATCTCCCCTGCAAATCAAACTAATGTCCAGAGTTTTGTATCGTTTCCTTCATCTTTCCACATTTGAGGTTGACAGGAGCAGATGTTCTTCTATAACTGCATTTCATCGTTGGAAATGAACATTGCTTTCCAGAATAACAATGTGTATTATTCAAGTAGTTTATTTCTTCTTGTTTTATTATCAATAATCAACACCACAACCATTTTGTTCTTATGCGTTTGGTTTTGTGTAAAAAATAACTGCCTTCAGAAACTTCACATGATAATAGGAAATCGCACGTGCCTTATAAATGGAGGTCGCCAAAACTACGCCAAAAATCTGTCAGTCGAAAATATCTTTGTGCCTTATAAATGGAGGTCGCCAAAACTACGCCAAAGATCTGTCAGTCGAAAATATCTTTGTTCAGTTGCAAAAGCAAACAATATCTTGGTTTCAAAGATCCTGTATGTCGTAATTCAGGTTGTAACCACAATTAAGTGAACTTTTATATATGTATATATTTATGCTTCTAAAACAATTTTCAAACTAAAACAATTTTCAAACATGTGAAGAATGTAAAATATGTTCCGCAAATATTTGTCCACATTATATGTTATCATTAAAATATATGCATGCATTTCTTTTTGAAAACAATTGACGTAGACTTTAAAGAAAATGAATTTCTAATAACCTCCCTTTATTAACATCAAAATGTAAATTCGATAATAACTTTACAAATAATGATTTTTGGAACTTACAATATTGATAAATCATCATTTGAGTATTTAATTTATTATATAAAACCATAACAAAAATGTGTTACATGATCTTTAATGGAAAAATTAAACAAAACTTCGTATAATGAATAAATTTCAGCTAAAATTTGAACATAATTTGTATACATTTGTAGATTTCAAACATCCAACTTTAATAAGAGTAACAACCTCTTACGTACAATGACCGACATTATCCGCATAATAAAATATCCTATTTTACTTTCTTTATTCAATTTAATGCAATCTATTAGCAAAACGTTAATATGCAATTACATATATGAGAAAATATATCACAATCAAAATATATTTTTGTATTGAATTTTATCAAAATCTTAATAAAAAGAAATTGTGATGGCAGTGGTCGATGTTACAAAGCAAAGGAAACCACTGAGTATGAGTTTACTGGTATACTACATATATTATAAACTAAAAGCCACTTCCTTTAGTGTGATGACAATAGTTTAAAATACTTAAGACATTTCTGTTATATTATATCATTCCAGTGACAAGTCAGCGGTAACATACCTTGACTTACTGTGATGAATTAAAATAAAACATAATGTAGATGTGTTGCTCAATTGCATGTTCTAGCAGAAAGTAATTAGGGTGAACTTAAAAGTGAGTTCATTTATTATCCTTGCATTCATATTATTTGGTTTATCTTTTCATCTTTGTGGTACTCAATATAGCAACGTTAAAATGTATTGGTGAACAGTAAGAACTACAATGTTGGGTACTATATCTTCAAAACTGATATAACACAAAATGTTATCTGATGGGTGATGTTATATGTGATTTTATGTAGATCCTTTATCACAAAGTTTGAAGCACACTGAATGATGTCAATCGCAATTTTAAATAGAAAATTTAAATGCAGAGAAAAAAAAGTTAAAAGCATGAATTATCTTAATTATATAAAAACGGTTATGCATTTCATTCAGCATTTTGGCTGAATTCAACTCTACATATCATAATACTAACCAAACATTTGCTTACAACAAACAAAAGAAATGCGTAGTACTATACTTTCATTTGAATTGATTTAAATGAGCTATGCATTGTAATAATCCTCCTCATATTGTCAATGAGATATCTAATAGGCAAACAGACATAAAAAAAATTATGTACAAATATGGTTGCTAAGAACAGAAGGAATTAAAGAAGTTCTTGCACTGTCTTGAACATAAAGTATGAACTAACATATTAACCAAAATGCTAAGCATTTTAAAATTCATGCATTTAGCTTAGTGGGGAAAATGCAAAATTTCAGAAAATATCAGGGGTAAATGTGATAGATCCATATCCTGCATTTCATTTTTTGAAACGTAGCTTAGGTTGAATACAGAAAATAAAAAGTGATATAAAATACCTCGACAAAGGTGTTTCAATTTATCAAACTCCTCCGTTGTTATACCATCTGCTATTTGATCAAGGAATATATTAAACTGCCAGTCAGGATGTGGTTCGGGAATTTCCTCAAAATCTTCAGCTGTGTCAGACTGTGGTGCCTGAGCATCATTATTAGTTTGAGATAATTGTTCTTCTGATATGTTTTCATTTTCTGAAGGTTGTCTTGGTGCCATTGGTAAAGCATCAATTGAAATTGAAGAATTGTCCTGTTCCATGTTGTTTCCTAGGGTTTGAAAGTTATATACACTTATATACAACCCTTTTATCAGTACATCTAAAAATTTCATTACGTGATTCCATGAATACAAGATATTAACATATACTAAGTTTATTACATATCATAAATGCTACTCATCGTTAAAAAATTAAAAATATATAAATTATATATAGTTAAAAAAAGTTCTCACTCAGGCTGTTTTATTAAAAAAGAGTATTTTTTATAGCAAGTTTCAACTTTAATCTGAATTTTGTTTTAACGGCAAATGCACTATCAAATAAATATTTAAACTCACCTGCACTTTTGACTAAAAAGTATGACTGTCAATATGTTATGATAAGAAACGGGTTAGATATGCTTTTAAAATGTTTAAACCCTACGTACATACACTACTCCGTTATTTGTTGTATGTTTTAATCGTCTGCTAAAATTTGCCAAGCTTATCTTGACGATATTTAGTGCATTCGACATGTATTATCAAAGAATAATTTATTTAAATACAACCCTAGTAACCAATCTTCTTCTAAAAAATGTTTATCTTATTTTATTTACATTTTAGGTCGAAGAGATTTGATGTGTATATTGCATTTTACAAGTTAAATTGTAAAAGGATATACTTGTTTTCTTTCTTTCATTAGATGCAAATGCGACAGCCGCGCAAAGTACAACAGTGTATCAAATATCAATAATGTTGAACCATTGTATGATTTACTGCACATTGAAATGGTAAACGATAAAGCAAACATGCAGTACCGATAATAGCGTACCACATTATCTTATTATGCACATTTAAACATGTTCTTTGGCAATGTTCCAGATTATGAATGTATAGATTACAACGCGAACGCTTTCGGTATAGCTGTAATTGTTAACGTCGTTAAGGTTCAATTCTGAATATAGACAAAACAAAGTTTCTAACAGTTACATGTAAACATGACTGCTAGTTTTATTTATTATAATACCTATTCTCCTTTTTCCATTATCTTAAGGTATAATTGAACCTTTGACTTAAGTCAAAAGTTTTAAACCGAAATAATAATAAATTAAAAATGTTGAATTTTGGTTCATTATTAAAATGACACATTCGTGTAACTTTCCACAGTTGTGCATCATTTAAATCACATTAAAATTTCTTTCTAAAGAGTTAAACATTTAAAACGACATTAATATTCCGAATTTCAAGTCGTTCCGAATAAGTCAACATCAAATTTTATTTTGTTTTCAATTCTAAAGATTTCTAAACACTTTAAAACCTTTCATCATTTTTCTTCAAAATATTCTAAAATTTGTGCCTAATGATTTTAATAACAATTGTTTAAAAACATTAAACAGAAATTATACCGAAAAAAGCAGAAGATTTATTTTGAAAAAAATATTTAAAACTAAAGTATACGTTCAACAGAACTCGTTACATAGCCGCCATGTTTTTTACAACCGCCATATTGAAATGAAAATAATTCTAATTATTTGATATCAAATTAAGACAGCCAAAGCTAAAGGAAAAGTATATAGCAACTTACTTTTGGTATACTATTGATGAAGTGAAGGTAATTATATCCAAACTGATATAGAATTTAAGAATTATTTAAGGAAAGGAAGACAAGTGAATGTTACGTCCTATAAGTTCATTTTAAGCGCGGTTGTTATGTGTTATTTTTAGATTTTCCGAAAACGAGACTTTCGAACAGTTGTTAATCATTACGTGGCACGTTGTGAAATTGTAAACTATGTAACAGTTACTCTTAATCGATTGATATGCTAAATTAAGATGATTCAATACTATTCATTGTTTCTAGTCCTAATTTACGTTATATATATATGACTCATGTCATGTCCAATATGTATATGTGTAGTCTGCATCTGTGATAAAATTTAGAACCTTTTATAAAAACATATAACTTGTAAATGCACTAAAGATGGTGATTGTAAGTAATTGGGAATATATGGGCGGACAGTTTACAGATTGTGTACGTTCTTACAATGAATATATAGTCAAAAATAGTTATTAGATTTATAAGGAAGCATGATGTTAGGGCCACTGAGATTTCAAGACTTTTTTTAATTAAAAAAGAAATATTTTCAGTTTTAAGTGTTCAGTGAGTGAGGATAAATGAAAAAAATAACACATCAATCAATGGTTGACATTTTATTTTTATTTTCTCCTATTCTTTTTGTGGAAGGTAAAGGTCATGCAATATCAATAATGTCTTACCTGAACTTTGTTAGAGCATATTAGGAAGTATCTTTATTTAATATATTTAGTCGTTATAAAGCAAAGTTCTGAACAATAAAATGAAACTGTCTTTATATAAGCACAGTACTTTGTGTCATGAAAGTTTTAAGGGTGACTAAGCATACTGAAAGTATTCTATAAGAAAAAAATGATCATAATAGCAAATTTAGTGATAATATTATTTATGTTAATTAAATGATCAAAAACTCATTAGTTATTGACACAACTTCAACAAACTCATTTATAGCATAGAAATGTGTGTGTGCGTGTATGCGTGCTGTGTGTGCGTGTGTGATAATGTAAAAAAGATAATTTAACTTGTGAGCGGATTTAGCTAGATGTGTTCGTTACACTACAGTACCAAGAACACTTAAAATCAATGGTTGTAGTTCAACATTCATTCGTTATTCAGAAAAATATATATTTTAGACATTAAGACAATATTAAAACAAAAATTATATTGGTCGATAGTTATTTGCTTCATTCTTATCCCCCGATTTAAAAAAAAAGGTATAACTCTAGCTCTTTTTAAATCATCTGGAAAAATAATAACTTTAATACTATTATTGATAATTGATAGAATTATTGGTGTAATATAGTTCACAATATTTGTTGATTATGGTCCATATCCATCTAGTCTTGTAGATGTTTTAATATTCAGTTTTTCAATAATAAGTTTTACTTCAAAAGGTGTAATTCATTCAATATTGAATTCGTGATATATTAGCTTTTGGTTTTAAGTTTCTTCCAAGTTTGAAAAATTTGTATTTAAAAATTTTGTTTTATGTATGACATTCGAGATATGGACAAAATACTTGCTTAATTCATTTATGATATTTTACATTTCCGTAAATTTCTTTATTACCTGTCACGAGTTTATCTGGCATTGTAATACAACCTTTTTTTTTTAGATTTTGAAACGTCCTTTAAATTGTTCCATCTCCCTAAAAATATAATTAAGTGCGCTTCCTACAAGTAGTTCTCAAATTCATTACGAGCCAAGCAATTACAGAATAATTTGATCCGCATTCATTTTTTATAAAGTTCAATTCATAAAGTATGATAGAATAAAACCAATATTAAAGAAAAGTTGCTTTCCCTTACCAATATAGACATGTTATATTTTTCGAATAATTTGAATACGGAAACACAAGTAATGTCTGTAAATAAATAAATACATGTTATGCATATGTATTACTTACTTATAAACATACAATTATCCGGGTCGCAATATTTTATCATTAAATTTAAAGAAATCAGTCCGAAGTTATATGAAGCTTATATTTCAAAACACGTAAAATTATTTTTCCAGTCAGCTGCATGGGCTATAATTATCAATATTAGCGTATTATGAAATACAGACAGAGATGTCTTCTGTATCAACATCCTCTATTGTACTCGAATGCCATTAACTGCGACTTTACCACATTCTCGTGACTGAAACGTGTATTTAGCCTTTTTTTCTTTTTTTTAAGGATCATTTATTGAAACTTATAACAATACTTCTGCATGCGGTTCTGCCGGTGCTAGATGATGCGTTTTCATTATCATTCATGATCAAATAAAACCTAAGTTGCAATTTAGCAGCTTTTTCTGTTTTGCTTCAATCGCTCTCGAAGTATCTGCAATGATCCTCAGTTTTCAACAGTTAAAAGTGTTGGAATCAAAGATTTCAAAGAAGCAGAAAAATATAAAATAAACTGAAGTGAAGTATGGGGCAACGTTTTACAGCTGCCACACAGCACTTGACACCATTTAAGAATATTGATTTGCATATGCATGAGAGACAACTTATCATATAACAAAACAATACGATTAAAAAACCTTAACCGGCCTACTAGTTAAGAAAAGGAAAGCGGGTATAAACAATTATTAACTATTATTAAATAATTAAAGAAAAATATTTATATTATTACATTAATTAATTGCCGCCGTTGACGCAAGAACTTAACATAAAATTTAAATTATGTGGGTGGATGGATGACTTTTAGCATACCTGTCACAAAGTGACAACGTAACCTTTAGTTATCCGTCCGTTTGTCGTCCGTCCGTGAACACTTACTTTAAACGACATCTCCTCATAAGCCGCTAAGACAATTTCATCCAAACTTCACAAGTTGATAACCTTTTGAAAATTGTTGAAGAATTGAATTACATACGGAACATATGGTTGCCATGGCAACTGAAAGAAAAAAAACTAAAAAAAACTTCTTTTAAAAAAACCCAAAGAGCTATAACTTAAGATTGGCACAAAACATTTTCTAGTGGGTGTCTACCAAGTGTGTTCAAATAAAATCCATAAGGTCAAAATTGGCCCTGTTCCAGGGGTCATTAGTTTTCCTTAAATGTAAACAATAAAAACATCTTGATTTTATTATACTATAGAGGCTTAAGCTGAGTCATTTTGTTTGCAACATTGTCTGGTGGGCATTTACAAAAATTGTGTAAGTTATAGCCATTGGGTCAAAATTAGCCCAACTCGGGGAGACATAGATTTTTCTATGCATGAGTAAAACTTAAGTTTTTAGATGAAACATTATCTAGTAGACCTCTTCTAACTTTGTTCAAATTACAGCCTTGAATCGTAATTAGCCCCCAAATGAGGTCATTGCTTTCCCCTACATAGTAAATACTTCAAAAATCTCCATGAAAACTGTAAGGGCTATATCTTACGATATTTTAACAATAAAGATAATCAGTATTCAAATAATAGCCTAGGACCTGGTTATTTGAAACATTTGTTAAAAGTTATCAATGGTAGTAAAATTATTACCAGGGTGGCCAGCTATTGTTTGGATAAATTTCATTGCTCGAAAGTTTGATAGAGCCCTTGCTTCGTAATCATTGGATTGAAATTTATCTACTGGTTAAGTACCAAAATTCAGCAGGGCCGGTTATGATTCTAGAAACAAAATAATTATTTTTTCATGTTTTATTCTACATATATTTGAAATTAAACAAAAAAGTTTAAATAAAGTATCAATATATCTATTTTTCCTAAAACTAGGAAATTTTCTATTTAAGAAAAAATAAATATAATTATATTTGCATGAAAAATCTTGTATCAAAACTTTTTTTAATGGTTTTACTTTGCTTTATGCTTTTGAGTGGATTGCTGATTTATCCGCAAAAAAATTTATAGATATATAATTTCACAATGACGAGACTACATTAAAAAGAATTTCCCAATTTGGTGTGTATTTTATTATTGCTTAAATTTCTGACATTGTCAGTGCTTGTAAGGGAAAAGCAAAGCTGAAATTGATAAATTTCAACTTTCAAAAGTAATAAAAAGAAAAGAAAATTTTCTTCAATTCTTTTAAATTACCAATCACCAAATATCGTACCCAAATGTTTAAAATGCTCTAAAACATGAAAAAAGGTAGACAAAAGCAGGATAAATCAATTACATGGTTGATGTTTAGATAGGAGAAGGTTTATCAGGTGAGCAAGAAAGAGTATATTCGCGAGCTTCAACGAACTCTATATATGTGACTTCTCATACCAACCAATGACTCCATTGTAACCATTGACTCCCATATTGACCATGTACTTTCAAGACCAATCAAAAATTTCAATAGCAAACAATTACCATGGAATTTCATAGCATCCAGTGACCTCTCATAGCAATCAGTGACATGCAATAGCAAACAGTGATTTCCATAGGAACTATTGACTTTGAGGGCGGATACAGACCTCTTTAGCAACAAGTGACTTACCATAGTAACCAGTGCCTTCCCTTAACAACTATTGACTTTCCATAGCAACCAGTGACTTCATCATTAACCATCGACTTTCCAAAGCAACCAGTCTACTTCCATAGCAACCAATGATTTCCATAACAACATTGACTTTCTATGGCAACCATAGACTTCCATAACAACCAGTGAATTATCATAGCTACCAGTGAGTCACATAGTATCCACTGTCAATCGACTTCTTTAACAATAAATGACTTGCATCGCAATTATAAATTACCATGCAACATATTATTTACTTGGTATCTATTGACTTTCCATAGCATTCAGTAACTTTCGAAGGAAACCATTTATTTTCATAGCAATCAGTGACTTTCAATAGCAACCAAAGACGACTTCAATAGCAACCAGTAACTTCCCAAAGCAACCAGTGACTCACGAAGTAACCAATGACTTTGCATAGCAACCATAAACTTCTTTAACACTTAATGACATGCAATTACAACAATTGACTTTCCGTGGCAATCATAGGCCTCTTCAGTAACGAGTGAGTTTCCATAGCAACAAGTGTTTACCAATGGCAACCACTATTTCAGTTGCAATCAGTGACTTTCTATAGATACCAAAAGACTTTGATAACAATCGGTGACATTCCACAACAACCAGTGACTCACGTAGAAACTAATGGCTTTCCATAGCATTCATAGACCTCTTTAACACCAAATGACTTGCCATAGC